AAGAGTTATGACTGCTTGCAGCACGGCTGCTGTAGATCTTGCCGGATACAGCGAACTGCAATAGAAATCAGAGTCAGGAGAATTCCTCAACTATTTTTAATATAAGGATGTGTCAGTCCCAAATATAATGATTCACAGAGGTTTGCTGAAGTTACAGCGTGTACCAGCAACCGAAACGTGCGTGTCAGTGCATTTGAAGGATGTCAGTCGGAACGATTACCGCTGAGGAGCGGATTCACACGAAAGAAGTTGAGGCTGATGAGTTCTTCTGACGGACCGGGAGATTCTGGAAAGGGTTACGGTGTGTTTTTCAGGGAATCGGACGTTAAATATTTTGTTCACAGTGCAGCCAAAAGCCAACCCTATGCAGCTCAGGACTGGGGGGCTGCTGTCTCATTGCAGAACTGCAGTGTTTGCTTAAATTCAGTTCCCGACATTGAACTGCAATCGTAAGAGAAACTAATTTTCACACACAAACACACCTACTACACCTCAGCAAGTTATTTGGGGATGTAATCTGTTAATTTATGCATTTCAAGCCACAACAATTCCTCCAGGCTACCACACAGCTGAACGCTTGCCAGGGTTGTAAGGAGCAGGTGGCTAATTTCCTTCCTTAAAGAAAACCACAGAGCTCACACCTCACACTTGAAAACTAACGACTGTGTATGCCTGCATACTCAAAAACAGCAGTGTAAGAAACCCACCCCTCTGTTATGTCTTTGCTGGGAGGGATTGAAGGAAAAGGAGAGGTAGAATTGAAAGCAGAAGCCAAAAAAAAAAGGCATGAAGGTAACAGCATCTCGGGGCAAACGATGCAATTACAAAGCCCTGGCTCCTCGAGTGAAACTTCAGCTTTGTCTCAAACGGTTTGGTTTTTTGTTGTTGATTTTGTGTTTTTTTCAAAATGCCAGAATTATTTTGCTTATTATTTAATTACTATTATTATTGACTGTGCCCCCTGATGGAGGATGTACCTGAAACGGTACAGATTTGCCATCTTCCTTCCCATGCACAACGCCTGCGGGTTGGACGGGTGCACAAAGAGCTGTTCAACACGAGGGCAGCACGGCCCCCCTCAGTTCTTCATGACACAATCCCATTAATTACAAACAGAACTCCTACTGGCTGAAGCTGCAGGTATGACACTCCAACTGCTAATTTAAAACAAGTTTGTTTGCACACAACGCCGCTGATCGACAACAGAAAATAAGGGGGAATGTTGGTTAGCTGATTGATAGCGCAGGGTCCGGTCCCAAACCATGACGGACGCTCATCTGTGCTTTTCTCAGCCACTCCCAGACTTCAAGGGCTGCACTGAGAGCTCCGTTGGAAAGAGGCCCCACCATCAGACGTCCCCATGGATAAACACACAGCGTTTGCTTATAAAAAGTGACAAGAGTTTCTGAAAAGCTGATGAACTCCAAATATTTCCCAAAGATTCTCCAAATACGTTCTGGTCACCACCCCAAACAATGCAATGTCTTTTAAGACTTCTTTTTGTTTTTTTTTCTCCTTGAACCTGGCTTACTTTTACATATTTTCCAACACAAAGGGCTGTTGAGTTGCCTTCAGGGCCGAATGTGGAACCAGAGAAATATTTTTCCAGGCGTAAGTTCAGTGTGTGAGATCAGGCTCACGGCAGGCAGAATAATGTACCTGTAACTTGAAAAATAAACCTTATGCCATATGTCTTTCACGATACTGTACCCCTCAACATCTGCTTTGTTTCAAACTGTGGCAACCTGAAAAAATTCCACCTGCAAATGAAACACCTTCAGACTTCCCGGAAGGAACCGTCAAGCTCTCACCTCTGGTTCCAGATATTCACTATCCCAAAGGTTTACAATGCTGATCTACTTTATCAATGAATCATAAAAAGAAAGAAAAAACAGCCAGAAATTAAACTCAGAGAGCAGCCTAACGAATGATGTCTGTCCAGCCAGAGGGTGGTGAGGCACTGGCACAGGTTGCCCAAGGAGGCTGTGGATGCCCCAGCCCTGCAGGCATTCAAGGCCAGGCTGGATGTGGCTCTGGGCAGCCTGGGCTGCTGGTTGGTGACCTGCACACAGCAGGGGTTGGAACCACATGAGCACTGTGCTCCTTTTCAACCCAGGCCATGCTATGATTCTATGTGGAAAAGAGGTTAACTACATTCCCCAGAGCCTCAGCAGCCACTATATAATGATAAGAACTGAAGAATTACAATTCTTTTTGAAAGCCTGGATTAGTATTGTTGGATACTTCATTAAAATCAATAACAATCCTTATGATAAAGAGGCAACAAAAATGAAAAAGCCATTTGACTCCTGATAACATGAAATTAGGTTGGCTCAGGGAGTTGTAATTCATAGAAATACATACAAAAAACTCCAGGTATTTGGTTTTTACACCAATACCTTCATTAATCTGAGTGGTCACAAACACATTAATGATCTACACCTACAAAAATACAGAAATTCTTACACTCTATCTGGTACACAACTGCATCAAGCCTTCTCTTTTGCACAGAAAAATCTTTCTATACCTCAAGACCAAAAAAAAGACAAGAACAGTGTCCTTGAACCAGCTGACCAAACCACCAGAAGGGAATGGCAGCCAGGACAGCCACAGGCAGCTTGAGTTGGTCAGCATCCATCCCCTGAGCAGGTCTTGCTCAAGGACACCATGCCAGGCCCTTACCCCAACACTGACTGCACAGAACTCTGCAGTTGCATCGAACTCTCCCATTAAAGGCAGAAATACATGAAATTCTATCTCCACCTTTGGTGATCAGTACATCCCCAACTCTATTTTAACTTCACCGTGACAAAGGTTCAAAGGAAAGATCCGAAGAGAAGAGAAACCCTACTTATAAATGAATTCCCATATTTCATCAGAAATGTTTTTACAACTATGAAGAAAATACCAATTTTAAATGCAAATCCCGTCCAAAATCAATACATTTCAAAAACCATTATCCTCGATTTAACAGCAATAAAAAAATTACATCCTTGAGAACACAGCAGAATTGCACAACGTAACATTGGCAGAAAGCATCCAGAAAAACAAATGAGGGAGAGAGTTCTGTGAAACCAAAACAAATTCCTGTCTTATCTAAAGCAATCAACCTGAACCATTTATACTTGGGCTTACTCACTCAGAGGAATGATTAATGGAAAGATGCTAACCAAAATAACGCCGTTTCTGGACTGAAACCTTTCAAGATGAAAGATTTCCTTTAAAACACGGGTAGAAGATTTCAGCTGTGCTGTCACACCATACGTTCATCAACTTATAAATCTCAGGGCTGGGCACACGCTGCGTTTCAGACTTATCATGTGGGGCTGCCACTCTGACGGCCGTCAGGCACCGCACCAGCTCTGCTAGCCAAGAAGCTTTCAGCAGCTACCGGGATTTTCGAACAGCGTGGTACCTCATAAAGAAAAGTAATTAGGTATTTCTAATGGCCACATTGGCAGGAAACGCTGCAGACAGAGGAGGAGACGTAATCACTTCGTGGAGGGGAAAGCAGGACCGTGCTAATGCTGCACAGAGCTGGACACGGCTCCCAGCACCAGGACGATGCCACGACCAGCTCACGGCGTTACGCTGCTGCTGCTCTTGGCTCTTCTTCTCAAAGCCCAACACGGCTCTGTGTGATCCAGCACTCCTTGCCCTCCATTCTTTTAGTTTTGAAACTCTGACCGCCTTATTTCCAAATACAGATGAAGAACCTGTGCTTGTATTTAGTCAGCTCTACCAGCAGCTGGTTGCCAAGCCATGGGCAACTACGCTTTGGTCAGAGTGGTCACCCTGGCAGGAAACATTCATTTCTTATGGTGACAAGCTTATACTCCCCCCCCCCCCCCCGTCTCATAAAGGCATGAACTGCAGGATATCATAATAAACCATGATTCTAAACTTGCTAGTTTAGGTTAAGGAATGTATCTCAATTATTAAAATATCAATAATAAAAGTTAATAAAATACAGCAGTGAGCAAGTAGTGGCATAATAGAAAAAGGCTAATGTTGGTGGTTTGCGTTTGTCTGCTTATCTCAGATGGATGCCCCTCACAACAAAAAGAAAGGAATTAATGTTTTCTGTGCAGCTCTAAAGCAGTGCACTCAGAACACTGCACTGAGCATAACTTAAAGTGTTTTTCAAGTATGAAGTTCAGAATGGGTGATGAAAAAGATCAGAAAGTGGAAAATCTGACTGACAAAAGACAATTTACATTTGTGTACTTTGACGACAGTGGCATTATGAGAACGTTGTTGATGGATGTTACACAGTTACAATAGAAAATAAACAGTAATTACTTAGAGAAGTATCAAGTTTTTCCTAGGAATAAAATTATCAGTGATGGAAAAGTTGTTACACAAAAAGTCTCTCGATCATCATATTTCTCTGGCTGGAAAAATATCCATGGTTACATGATAGGCACATCAATGTTTAAGATATTTGGAACCACATTAGGCAACTCATAAAGGTGCTCCAGGTCAAACCTGCCCCTTCATCAAGGTGGATTTGATTATTCAACAGATTCTCCATCTCAGATTTCTACCTCCAAAACAAATACAGACACTGTTCTACTGAGTGTCTTCAGAAAACAAGCACATGAAACAAACCCCACTGTATTTCTGGCAGATGAAAATGTGAAGTAATCAGAACGATGAACTCATTAACTCAAAGCAACCAGATAAATAAATAAAAGCAAATCTTCAAAACCATCTAAAACTGCCGATGTGACTTTTGGATGGATGAATCTGTCTTGTTCAAGCCAAACTGAAACGTGGAAACTGTTGCAAAGTGTCCGTGGCTCAGCATGATGGGATTAGTCTTACTCTAACTAGAGGTAACATCACGACATCGGTACAAAAGTTGCCTTTGAGAAATTCATTCCACACTCAAAAGCTGCATGCTGAGATCCTGACAGCAGTATGGAAAACCATCGAGCTGGATGCCAGAGAAATGGATTTAGGTTATTTTTACAACATTATTTCTATTATTTTCTTACCATCGTACTTTATTGCAGGTCTGTGTAGCGCCAAGAGGAGAACCTGCCACCATGGGGACCTGGATGGGGCTGTGCTGTTTGTTCATGACAAGATCCAACTTCTCTTCCAGTGATTTACAGGTAGCCTCTAGAGCCAGCAACTTTGCCTCAATGCTATCCAGTCGCAGGCATATTGTCTGATTAATGGAACACAGGAATGACTAGAAAGGGGAGAAAGCAAGAGAAACTGCTTTTAAAAACTTACACATTTATCTTCAAGCAACACACACACAGGGAAGCTCAGATAAGTGCGACTGGAAAACGACTCTAAAGTAACTAGCAGTGTGCCTAGTGACTAAACTCAGCCACGGACAAAACTGATGACATCCAGGAGCATTTCAGCATTCTCAGACTCATCCAGATCCTTTTTTAGATGCCAAAAGCATTCAAGCCAAATACATTTGCACCTAAGCACTTTGTTAGTATGATTTCATACACCACACAATCGTTTAAAATAACGTGCCAGTGCCTTTCATTCAAAGTATTTAAAAACAAAAGGATTATAAACATCTGAAAGCATCCTTCTGGATAAAGTTAAGATTTCTTTTCCTGTCCAAACAGATAAATTCACATGATTACAGTGGAAATTATTTCAACACAAATCACTTCAGAGATGACAAACGCCGCTCACTTTGGTTTTCTCCTGAACAGCAAGTCAGGAAAAGCAAATAAGTAAAATCTGTTTTCCTAAGCAATTTGATTTAAAAGAAAGCATACTCCACTTGGTTTCCCTTGGGGAAATACAGGCTACTGAAGGGTAACACGTGCTTGTCTGCAAACAGCAACCACGCCATCTTGTGGCCCATAGCTACAATTCACACAGCCCATCGGCTGCTCTAAACACACAGCTCCACCTTTCTATGAGTTTCTGTACCGAATCACATAGCATTGAACAAACACGACAGCAAAATACAACTCATTCACTTAAGCACCAAGACAAAAACACGACTAAATTACACCGGTAAGGGCAGCATAGAACAGCGGGGGTTGGAGGGACATCAAAGATCACCCAGCTCCAACCCCTTGCCATGGGCAGGGATGCCCAAGAGGAGGACAGGCACCAGGTCAGCATGGCAAGCTCTGCGAGCACAGAGAAGGCTGGGCTAACTGAGCCTGAACCAAATACAGTTCAACTCCCAGGAGAATACTGATAGCTGAAGAAATAATTTTAAACACGCTGCACGTTGTAACGATGATGAAAATATTCATCTTAGATACATATTACCTATATGTGTATATAACCATATCTGGGCATTGTAATACACTATATCAAGTTTATCCTCTGAGTCAACTTCACTCACTTCATCAAAATGATGTCTGGGTCACTGGAATTAACTCTGCTTATATTTTATTTTGCACATAACCTTTTAGCTTTTGATTTCACACCCAGAGATTTACCAGTTCTCTGGATCTTAAAACTTCTGCAGAGAAATGAATGTACACTGCAAGAAGGATACAATTCCAGCCTTACACAGAAACATACATATAATGGGTTCATTTCCCCCAGGAAAGCTTACTTAATTGGTTGTAGAATAAGAATAGAAAAAGATTTGATGGTAACCTTAATAGAGGGATCCTGGCAGTTAATTTCTATGCGCTGACGTTTCAGAGTAGGCTCTACATCATCATCTGTCACTTCATGATTCGCCAACACAACTGCAAAGAAAAATATGCCATGGCACATTCCACAAGAGACAAGAGTTACAAATGCATTAAGTGGACAAATCAAAGAATATAAAAGGAGTCTGGTTAACATACTGTAATTTTTTTCAAACTTATTTGCATTAAATTATGACAACAGCTTACTACTTCTCACAAAATTATTATCCAGATCTAAGACAATTTCAGCCCTACTGAGGGTGTAAAGCTTGGGTGTTACCTTGGATATTGTTTCTTTTTTAATTAGGAACTCACCATGAGGAAGCAGAGTTGCCACATCAGCTGTTCTGCTTCGACAGATCCACTGGCTTCTGAAACCCCAACACTCTACAAAACCGTAAGCAGTGCTAATGAAGTTCTAACAAACACAGGATTTCCCCCACTCTATGCAGGGTAGCAATAGATAGTTTTTCCCCAAAATACATTAACAAAATGCTGCAGGCTTTCCCAAATAAATAGTTGGCTATGCAGATCGTGTGCTGTGGGTGATAATCCTGCCCAGCAGGTTCCCAGCCAGGTTGGGGCAGGAGGCTCTCAGCTGCTCCTCCAACTCTTGGGAAACATTTCTAAACAAACTTTTTCCTTCTGCATCAGAAGAAGTGTTTTTGATAAGAGATTCTATTTTCTGTAACTGTGGCTACTGTTCTAGAAAACATTTCTATCCAACACTGAAATCCATTTCTACCAACACTTACTCACCTATGCGCGAGTAATAATCTGATCCAAAGGGTATTAAAGATGCATAAAGAAAGCTGTTCAAATTCAGCTGCTAGTCTTAATAAGCACTTCAGATTAATAAAAGAAAAAGCTCAGGAGTGATTTCCACCTTGTCAGGGGGTAATACTGTACCTGGGTTGTCTGGAGTCAAGTCTTCAACGGCAATCTGAACAACATCTGCCAGATCCTGTTCTGACATCATTCAGAACCAGGCTGCACTTTGCAGTCAAACACCACTGCAGGCCCCCAAACAAGCAGTTTTACGAGACATGCAATCCTGAAAAACAGCAGCAAGAGGAGCATTAATCCCTGATATATCACAATTCAGCACTCACTTTTTCTCATGGCCATGAAAGAAAACTGCTCATACAATGGCACAAACTGCCATGCTAATTGGAAACCTCATCAAAGAGACAGCAGCTGCACTCTGGGCATCACCTCCATAAGCAACCTTTCTACAGTAGGAGCAGGACCACTCTGCAAGCCTTTCTTGCTGAGTCTTTCTACATATTCCCAACGGATAAAGAGATGGGTTAGCATCAGTGATTTGGTGGCCCATGGGTCTAAAACACAAGAGAAAATGTCTTCTTTCCAATGTATTGACATCTTCTACTTTAAAGGCTTGTAAGAGTACACAAATCTATCTGTAAATTCTGAGGTTTTAATTTGCAAACTATCACTTGGCTCTTGGAAGCACTCAGACCCAACCCTTGATGCTGCAATAGCACACAAATCTGCACAGATCCATACACACACAAGCTCCTACCCCGTACAGACTCTAACAGGCCTCAAAATTCAATGAGGACTGGGAGCTCTCTTGCTGCTAATTGCAAATCAACTTGTTTGCCCAAGGAGGCTGTGGATGCCCCAGCCCTGCAGGCATTCAAGGCCAGGCTGGATGTGGCTCTGGGCAGCCTGGGCTGCTGGTTGGTGACCTGCACACAGCAGGGGGTTGGAACTGGATCAGCACTGTGCTCCTTTGCAACCCAGGCCATGCTGTGATTCTGTGATTCTATGATTGAAACAAAAGTTCCATTTTTTTTTTTGGCTGTTGAATCTGTTTTTTCTACTGTCTGATTCCAATGAAGCTATTTTCAGAATATTTCCTGATTTCTCAGCCCTGTTCCCTTCGAGCCCTCCATCAACGTTATTTATTAGGGTTTTAAGAGAAACTTTTTAGCCTCTAAAACTGAATTATAATCACTGGAATTGGTCGTATCTGTTCCTTCCCACAGCCATAAAAGGACAGGCATAAAACACAAAGAGATCGGTCAACATTATTTTTTTTCCCCCCCCTTTCCCAACCTGAAGCAGAAAACACAAGTAAAATAATTTGAAGTTTACCAGTGGAAACGGTAATTCATCCCTTCACATTGACTCTGAACCAGCTCCAGCTCTGCATAAAGATTTCCCTCTTCCATTGGAACACAAGAAAGCCATTAAAGCCCGCAGGTGGAGCACGGGGCGCTGGCAGAGCATCGGAGCTTGGGAAGGATTGGGGGCCCGGCGCAATGTCAGCACCCATCCCCACACTGGGACTCCCCACATCTCAGAACTGTTTACTCAAAATATCAGCGTTGCCAACGTTGAGTCATTTACAATTCTGATGGTGGTGAAAAACGGGCTGGGATTGCGCGGCCGTGGCTGCGCGCCCGAGAAAGCTGGCAATGTCCTAAAGAGTGTGGGTGCCATTTGGCAAATGAGATTTGCCATTTCTGAGAAACCCTGGCCCTCAGCCAGTCCTAACATCATAAAGCAGCTGTGCTCCAGTTACTGGCCATAATGTCACACGCTGCACTACTGAGAACCCGGCCCTCGAGTTGAAGTGCTAAAAATGGACCGACTGCAACAAAACCCAACTTTGAGAACTTCAGCCATTTACACAACACTGGATTTCGCTGATGCTTTGTGTTGCATTCTAACCACAAACACATCACTAACTCGTAAATCATTCCAAAGCATTTCTATTCTTTGCAAGCCATTCTAAGACGTACTTCGCTCTCCAAAACTCATCGTGAAATGACTGAGATGAATTAAACACAAACACAGGGTAATTTCACACTTCTGACCTCTGTTCTGCTTCTCTCGTGGGTCACAGCCCAAAGCACTCAACCTCAGATCAGAAAATTAGCCCTGAAAGATTCTGCTAGTCCTTAAACAACAGCACGGCTAGAAAGTCCTGATGGGGAAAACAGCCATTACACACACACAGCAATGTTTCTTCGTAACATCAATATTTATTTCCATTTAAACACATTGTATTACAGTTTCAAGGAATCCCACACTGCTGCTGGGCAGTTGGCCAGCATCAGGCCAGAACCCATTCTTGGATTCTCTGCGGGTGGAACAGAACATAGCTGCGCTGTCGGCGCACTCAGCGAGCTGCAGAGTGGAGCAGGGCGCTGATGGAAGCAGTGCCTGAGCGAGCTGCACTGCATACTGCAGCCATAGCAGCTTCCACAACTGGGAATAACTCTTCCCAATTCCACATTTCAACTTACAGTTGATAACTCCCACAGCAGGCTAAAGAACCTTATGACCAACGCTTGACTTCAGAATCAAGGACGAATGAACGATGAATGGGATACTATTAAATTGCCACCTTTGAAAAGCCTCAGCTTACAAACTCAGAACAATTTCCTCAATCCATTTTCCACGTATTTTACTTGGTGAAGTATTCACCACCATTTCTGGAAGCCAAATATTTCCTCTAACATTGGCCAGATGTCCCCAGCCCTCCCCACTTACCCCTTCTGGCTGCAGGCTTTGCCCCCACTGACTCTAAATGAAGTGCACACATTAAGAACCTGACGATGAAACATTACCTGGAGCAAATATGAAGTGATAAGAGAAAAACAGAAAGGCAAAAAGCTTGGGATAAGCCTCGATAGGGAAGGAAACGTGCCTGCTTTGCTTCCCCCCAGCAGCATGCAGGTTGGGTCCTATAGGGCCAGCCCAGTGCTACCTGGGGGAGGGCATGGGGACATTGCATCCCTGTGAGCACTCTCATCCCCCATTGATACACCTGATACTGTAGATTTAAAGTAGCCTTTGTTTAATTAAGTAAATTATTATTTGTAAGCAGCTAAATCCAATTCGGGTCAGTTGAATTCTAAATTACCTTACCTGCGCATGGGTTTCGTTTAATTAATCCATTTTATAACATTAATGCAGAGTAATTCCTCTGAGCAGTCGCTTGTAAACAAACCCATTTACTGAAATATCTGATGGCTTTACAGAATCACAGGGCATCATTCCAAAGCATATAACCAAACACACCCAGTGACTTGTTAACATGGGAGAACATGTGCTGAACATCAATCTTCTCTCCTGCTAATTAGCGAGGGCAAACACTGCATTTCTCAAAAAAACCCTGACGTTCTCCAAAGCTTTATTCTGCTCACAGCATGCTTTTGGACTTCTCTTATTTGAGCAGATCATTACAGATCTCCCCCTCGCTGGCACTTCTTAGCACTGTTAGAGGCACAGAATCATTCAGGTTGGAAAAGCCCACTACAACCATCCAGTCCCATCACCACCATGCCCACAACGCTGATCAAACAATACTGTCATCCTTTATCCTGCACCATGGCCAACACTGACTACCAGCTGTGCAAAACAAGGCTGAGGAATGCCATTCCATTTCCAAGCCTTGTTCCTCTTCGTTTCACTCATCCTTTCAATCAAGGACACCGTTTTGGTTGTGTTCCTCTAAGCACAACCCCTGCTAGCTAACCAGTCCATCTTCAGTAGCCTAACACCCATCACAAAGGGACAAGGATCCTTATCTTGCCAAGAGCTACGACATGCAACAGAGGCAGCTGAATGGCACAATGCATTTTGCACATGCAGTAAGGGCAGTAATCCTCTGTGTGCACAGATTGGTTCACAAGTGAGATGAGCTTATGGGGCAGAGGGACTAGAGCATGCAGATCTGCCCTCGTGCAAGTTATGCAGAAGCATGAAAGAGGCCCTCCGGGCAAAAAACACAGCTTTTCACATGAGATCCTCATGAAGAACAACCAACAAACCCAAGTTATAATCTGGCACAGCCACCAGCGTGCTGCATCCTAAAGGAAACAACCCCCAAGAGCAGTCCTGTGCAGAGAGATGGGAAACACCTAGTTGGATACATGAAGTTATCATGGAACTGGGAGGTTCAGAACACACCAATGCTCTTTTAGTCTTGCTCTGAGGCTTGCAACAATTTCATGACACCAAAGCCTGCCTTTTCCCTAAGTTAAGGTCATTTCAGTTGGAACGGAGCCTTCCTACACCAACAAGCCACATTATTGCTTATGTTCTTATACTGAAGCATGCAAAGAAGCTAGAATAGCAGTGGTGCAATAGAACATCGGGTTTGATGCTCTAAAGTTGCAGTCCCTCAATATACCAAGTCAAAAGTTACTTTCAAAACTAAAAATTGAAAAAAAAATAATCATATTTTGCACCTTCTTATCACTATTTAAAACTAAAAAGAAAAAACGGACTCTAATCTTTTCCAGGTTCTGTTTAGTTTTTATTGTTCTCAACTCAAATTAAAAGGGATGCAGAAGCATCGTGTTCCACATGAATTTCATGCTAAAATTACACGTGTTGCAGCTTAACTATTTTACAAGTTGGTGTAATATATGGACATCTTTGGTTCAGCCAGGGATCAGAAGGACACTGTACTGCTTGGGTGTCTTTTGGTAACTGCAATCTCCCACCTTTGGCCACAGCCCTAACACAGCATACAACAACCTCGGGCAGGAATAGAGCTGTGTGCCCCAACCCCAGCACAAGGAACCACAGCACTGAGCGTGGCCATGCACATCAACCACGAGCTCCCCATTCACCTTGCACAAACATGGTACAACTTGTACAGCTGAAAACCAGCAAGAACCAAGCAAGAACTGCTCAGCTAGCAGATGCAGCACGCAGAACCTGATGCAGCCATGGTGTTTTGTTGTTTTCATCCACTAGATGGAGAATATTGGTAGCACCTTCACAAGAAACACAAGCAGTTGAAGAACAGACTTCTTGAACTTGTTTCCCATTACGTATACAGAAGGCTCTCAAGGAACCCTTACCCACAGCTGGAGGGGCACTGAGGTGGGTTCCCCACATGGCCTTTAAATGCAGTGACTGTACCACCACCTGAAACAGCAGCATTGCCCCACAGGCATCCTTCTGCATTACTTCACACTGACTCTGGGAATTCCAAACTACCCCCTAAAGAGATCAGAATTATTTGGAGCAGATCTGAGTTCTTCACAAGAAGCACAGCGCTGCCAG